CTGGATCTGAGGGCCTAATCAACATTTTAAGAGTTTCTTTTTCCTCCTTTTTAAAATATTAATATATTTGCATGTATAGTCACATGGTACAGTATACTGCCAGGCCTACTTACACAGCTGTCAACTCAATTTCTTGCTATTTGTACCAGTTCTGTGTGCTACACATGCCATCTCATATAAATTAATTCATTTTCTGTCCTGTTTCTGGGTCCCCATTTCCCTAAAAAGTTCTTTTTTAAAATTTTTATAAATGATACATCGCTAAAGTGGCATGTACATTTGTGTATAATGATACTAAACTGTAGAAGGCAGTATTGGAATTTGCTTCATAACTGGCCATGGACACCTCACCAGTTGTTAGGTTTCAGAGTGCTTTTTTCTTGAAGGACACTTTAGTGGGAAAACATTAGCTAAGTGATACATCGGTAAATTGTTGTGGAGAAAAAATATGAAAGAAAAAGTAAGCAATTTATCACTAAGCATTTTTTTAAAACATGACCACTTTGGTCATTCAACCTGCACCAAATTAAAACATAAGTACAGATAGTAATATATATACATGAGCAAGGTGTCAGTTTAATAAACACAATGCAAGCGGATTAAAAAGTATAAATACAAATATGCACATTCATCAAAAGGCTGTCTTAAAAACAGAGTATAAAAAGATATAAATGCACACACAATTTCAATTTCAAAAAAAAAAACAAGTTGTTTCAATTAATTGTGTGGGTCTTCAAAAAACTCTTTCCTTAATTTCTGGGTGGCCAAAAAAAACAAGTCATTTCAATTAATTGTGTGGGTCTTCAAAAACTCTTTCCTTAATTTCTGGGTGGCCACTATAAGTATTTGGATATGAGACTTTCAGCGAATAAAGGGGATCTCCAGCGAGCGCCAGGAAAGAATCCTGCACCAAACCCTGCAGACCTTGTACGTCTTACCTGCCTTGCAAACCCATTAGGGTCACTATCATTTTCAAGCTTGACAGCCTATAACATCAATTAGCTCCTTCTCCTCTCTCTTCATCATCCATCAAAGTGACAGGGAATGGGACTGTTATGAGAGAAGCAGTTATTTCTGGGACTTCTGCAATTAACAGGTTTTCCCCGTAATTATAATAGAAGACGTATCAAAATACGATTTTTCTCTATCTGAAGCAGTCTGATCCATTTTATTTCCTCTTCACTCTGCGACCCGATTCTGTTGCATGTGTAGCATAAGCCTCGGGGCAATGTAAACTTTAGACCCATTCATTTTCTGATCTTAGTTTTATAAGCTCTCATTTTAATTTTATAAGGAGCTTGCCCACGATTACACCAGTAACAGAAAAATCTTCCCCATATTATATTTTGCGTAATGTGCAAACTACAAGTGACATGGAGGATTCTTAGGTAAATTTTCATTTTTATAGTACACACTTCCCCCAAGTACCTAAATACACAACTTTCAGATAAACTCAGAGCCAATTGATCGAAACAGGGACGCAAGTGTTCAATCCTTTTCAAATGTCATTCTTACAATCCACATGCCACCTTCTACTGTACTCCCAAGGCTGCTATTAGATGTACAAGGGGAGACTCAGAATTTAGAGCCTGTTGATTATTTGTTTGCCGATCACAATTTGTGCACTGAACACCTTCAACATCACTCCGTTTACAGATTCAAAGTTAAGAATGGGCTGTAACAACTGCCTCCACGTTCTGATTTCCTGCAGATCTAATCCAAATAAGATGTGTTGCCATTCTGGCGGGAAGACACAAGAACAGAAGAATATTCTTCCTTGATTAGACTTCAAGGTCCATTGATTGAATACCAATATTTATTTATTATTTTATTTTATTTAAAATATTTTACCTTGCCTTTCTCCTTAAGAAGGCAGCTTATATCATTAAAAGATAATATATTTAAATCTAAGAACAGTAAGTATACAAATATTAAGAGGATCAAACAAATACCACACTAAAAGAAGGCAAACAAAAACGACATCCAAAAACATATTCAAAGCAGGAAGGCACAACCATCCAATCAAAAGCTCCACTCAGGCAGCCAGTCATTGAGAGAAGGTTTGCTTGAAGAGAAAGGTCTTTGCCTGCTTGCAGAAGGACAGCAAAGAGGGGGCCAACTAAATTTAATTTGAGGTATTTGTGTCGACCTAGGCGCACCCCTATATTGAACCAGATAGCCCTGGCCTGGTTCCAGTGTAGATTGGGACTGTCATGGTTTTCAGCAGGAGAATTTGGCATTCAAAAAAATGCTTTTTCTCAAAAAGAGAGAGAGAAGCAAGGGAAAGCAAAATACTATATAAGGGATTCACATGATGTGCAAGTGGAGTAAGAGGACCAAAGAAATGAGGGGGAGAAGCAGGGCTTTCTGATTGACAGGTTCACCTTCCTCTTTTCAGGACAAAGTAGAGAAGAGGAAAACCACACCATTTCTGGAGTACATTGGAGGGAAAGTGGCAAAGGTAAAGGGTAAAGGTTCCCCTTGACAATTTGTCCAGTTGTGTCCGAATCCAGGGGGCGGTGCTCATCCCCATTTCCAACCCATAGAGTTTTGTCCGAAGACAATCTTCCGCGGTCACATAGCCAGCATGACTAAACATGGAACGCTGTTACTTTCCCACCGAGGTGGTACCTATTTAGGTAAAGGTAAAGGTTCCCCTTGACAATTTGTCCAGTTGTGTCCGAATCCAGGGGGCGGTGCTCATCCCCATTTCCAACCCATAGAGTTTTGTCCGAAGACAATCTTCCGCGGTCACATAGCCAGCATGACTAAACATGGAACGCTGTTACTTTCCCACCGAGGTGGTACCTATTTAGGTAAAGGTAAAGGTTCCCCTTGACAATTTGTCCAGTATTTGTCCGAATAGTTTCCGAGGTCACATGGTCAGTGCAACTAGACATGGAATGTCGTTACCTTCTCACCATGGTGGTACCTATTTATCTACTTGCATTTGCATGCTTTTGAACTGCTAGGTTGGCAGGAACTGGGACAAGCAACAGGCGCTCACTCCGTCGCATGGATTCAATCTTATGGCTGCTGGTCTTCTGACCCTGCAGCACAGGCTTCTGCGGTTTAGCCCACAGCGCCACCACGTCCCTCGTGGTACCTATTTATCTACTTGCATTTGCATACTTTCAAACTGCTAGGTTGGCGGGAGCTGGGACTAGTGACAGGAGCTCACTCTGTTGCATGGATTCGATCTTACGACTGCAGGTCTTCTGACCTTGCAGCACAGAGGCTTCTGCGGTTTAATCCATAGTACCACCTTGAGAGTGCCCTGGACTGCAAGGAGAACAAACATATCAATTCTAAAGGAAATCAACCCTGAGTGCTCACTGGAAGGACAGATCCTGAAGCTGAGGCTCCAATACTTTGGCCATCTCATGAGAAGAGAAGACTCCTTGGAAAAGACCTTGATGTTAGGAAAGTGTGACTGCAAGAGAAGGGGACGACAGAGGATGAGATGGTTGGACAGTGTCATCGAAGCAATCAACATGAATTTGACCCAACTTCAGGAGGCAGTGGAAGGCAGGAGGGCCTGGCGTGCTCTGGTCCATGGGGTCACCAAGAGTCGGACATGACTAAATGACAACAACAACGACCACCACATGGTACATAAATGGTACATAAATGTAAATAAAAATGAGCAGTACTAAATAAACACCAACCAAAGTTCCAGTTCAGAAGTAAAGACGTAGAAGCACATTCCCGCTTAAACGTGATGCTTCCTTTTGACTCAGACGTCATAAAATTAGAAGCTAAGCCTGGTGCCCTCTGGTCAGGAATTATGTGCGATGTCACAGATTGTGCTTGTTTGCAAAAGAGAATAAATGTAAATAAAAATGAGCAGTACTAAATAAACACCAACCAAAGTTCCAGTTCAGAAGTAAAGACGTAGAAGCACATTCCCGCTTAAACGTGATGCTTCCTTTTGACTCAGACGTCATAAAATTAGAAGCTAAGCCTGGTGCCCTCTGGTCAGGAATTATGTGCGATGTCACAGATTGTGCTTGTTTGCAAAAGAGAGAGAGAGAGAGAGACTGACAGGTGGCACAGAGGAAGGACAGGAAGAGGGTTGTGTTAATGGTAGAGGAAGGGTGTTGGCCAGCAAACCTGGTGATATTTCAGGCAATCTGAGAGGTGCAGTGTGGCTTCTTGTTTCAAAACTACTCAAGATAACTAAATGGTTCCGTGGGAAGAGAAGCATCAGTTTAAATGTTGAAAGCGATCCTTTTTAAGCCAGATTCAACCTGGGACACCCTCCCTATTTAGTCACACCCTTTATTGCTTGCATCAAGGGTTCACATTAGAGATAGGCATGAATCAGATCGACCCAGTTTGTAGAAATTTGCCCCTCCACCTTCCCAGCCAACTGCCCCACTCACAATCTGTCACATGCTGTTCCTCAGGTGGCTATTCAGTCTGGTCAGGAATCTGAGCATCCTTTCCTTGTCTCCTCTGGCAGCCAACCAGGAGGCAGGATGGGGAGTCTGGCTGTGCAGCCAATGAGTGGTTGGCTGCCAGAGGAGGTGGGGAAGGGAAACCTGAGCTCCTGCCCAAACTGGACACCGGAAAAGGAGGACCCAGGCAGCACATGGTGGATTGAGAGTGGGCCAGCCGGATGGAGGGTTGGGGGGGGGAAGGTGTAGCCCTTTGCGGTGCCGCACCAGCAAATTTCTATGATTTGTGCTCATCTCTAGTTCACGTCAGCCACAAAATTCAAACACCAACCACCCATTTTACATTCCAAATCTTACCTTTCCTGGAAACCTGTTAAACGGTTTTAGCCAATTCTCAGATTGGTTGAAGTTTGTGGGAGTTACAGCCTCAAAAAAGTAACTTTGATGAAGATGTGAACAAAGATAAGGTACTGAGAGGATTCATGGAAAAGAGTAGAGAATTCCCTCAATTTGAACTAGGGTCCTCCTTTTATAAAACAGCCACCATACTTAACTAGCAACTCTGAAAATAGAGTTTTGCTGTTGAATTCCTTCATTTTACCTCCTCTTTGTCTTTCTTTTGAAATTCTGTAGTGGTGGATGTGGAGAGATGCCTTCTGGTTTGGCTGCCAGTAAAAAAAAAAAAGAAGAGTGGGTTAAGACAGACGACGTGTTTTGTGCTCCTTTTGAAGCAAAACTGTTCCCTCTTCCTCCAAGAGCAGAACTCCATGCTGTGTGCTTCCCATTAGGGCATCTTGCTTATTGACATCCATTCCATTCTTCTTCAATGTCACCTCATGGCAAATACCAAAGAAATCTGACAACCCCTTCATTGTCTCCCTATTTATAACTCCAAGCTACATGGCAGCTTGGGGAGTTCAAGAACAGCGGTGGAGTAGATATTCTCCCTGCATTCTTTGCCGGCTCATGTGAAGCTAAAGCCCCCACTGTTAAAGTTAACTGTAATTGCTACCCTAAGTAAGCAGTCTTTCTGCAATCCCAGCACAGCAGGTATTTGGCTAATTACCGGGAAGCTTCTTACAGGATTTTTGAGACTGCAAAGTTACTTTTAGAAAAACATGAAATCTACACAGCGTTGAATCCCAGAATTATAGCAATGTGAAACAACTATGAACCAAGCTTCTACCCTACCATCATCACCACCACCTGTTTCTCATTACTGTCTTAGCCTGCATCTCAGATCCATGTTTGACATACAGTCCCTGTTGTTTGCCTCCGTTTTTAACACCATAAAATCCCCACAAATCAACAATAATCTCCCGGTTTCATGCAATGAATTTGTCTTTTGAAAATATTGTCTCAAATATTCAGCCTTGACAATCCACTAATTACAGGGGAAGGGGATCTCCAGCTGCATCTGCAAAATTCTATCATCTGCTCAGGGCAATAGCACACAAGATAGGCAAGTAGATGAGGACTAATCTTTGCCTTGCAGCCAACCCTGCAGTTGTCGGAACAGATTGCAGGACCAACAAGACAATTCCTTCATATGAATCAACAAAGTTACCCTAGTAGTGACCAGAAGCAAGTGAGGGCCTTTCCAGATGGGGGATGTTGGAGTGGTTTGTTTTGTACTTAAATGGTTCTTATGTTTAGTGCAATCGATCTTGTTTCTCACTTGAGCAGTCCTTCTCTTCACACTGATCAACATTTCTTCTCTAGTGAGAAGGGTTCAGATGGGTATTCGGATCACTGCAATTTGTCCTTTTTCAATATTTTTGTTAAATAAAGTAAGTGACACAGCGAAACAGTGATGCACCGGTCTAGTATGGTACACTGGTACATATAACACCAGTTTATCTTGTTTATAATTCTTATTTTAAAGGAGGTGGTAACACCACCAATTTCTCTTGTTTATAATTCTTATTTTAAAGGAGGGGAGGGTGTGTGTTTTCTTAACAAGAGATATCGGATGGAAAACAATTCATCAATAGACTGAGTTCGGGAGAAAAGAGGCAGGCAAACCCCATCATTCTCCAGTAGGCGACAGCAAGACCAGGGCTGGAGAGCTGTGCCACCAGAGACTCAAAATGCATTGAAGATCATCCATAGAGATTAATAGGTCTGAAATGCCCATCAACTGTGATCCTTAATCATGCAAATGCAAGCACCGTGATTTCAATACAGGAGATCAAGTGTTGACCCTCAGTCCAATGAAACAATAGTAAGCTCCAAACAAGGTGAGAAGGTTCTCTTGTGGTGAAGGAAAAATATGGTGCTGTGAATTACTAAATTAAAAGATCTGGAATCAGACTTAAGTCAGAAGTCTACTCTCTAATGTATAAAAATACATCGCTGCAAAAGAATCACTGGATGGGGGAGGTACTGAAAAACTTCCTCTCCATGTTTGTATTATTCAAAGGAAGGATTGGAAACCTGGCACCACAAACATCTGTGGAAATGGCCCAACTTCTTTAACATTATGAAGCTGATCTAGGACAGCATGGAATTTCACCAGGATCACAATTCTCTTGCTGCATTGGGGCTGCCTGGAGAAGCCCTTTGACACATAGTAGGAGTGTTCATGTCTCTATCTAATCTCATTTCATTTGCTACAAAAGCAAAAAGTACATTTGCAAAAGTGGTTTCAAAAAACAAAACACAACTTCTGGTCTCCTGAAGCACAGTCAGAGATGCTTTATGCCACCATCTGCCACACACTCTCTTCTTTTCTTGAATGTAGCCAGGAAGCTATGCTTTCTCAAAACCCAATTTAGATAATGAAGGTTCAATCTTAGAGAATAAGATACTCATTAAAAGCCCATTGTGGCATGAGACCATTTCAAGGAGGTGTTTACAGGTAGCAAAAGGATGGGCTGGTCCAGGGTAGTGATCTCCATCTGTGAATTTCCACTGCTGCACATAATTAGGAATTATTTACATACGATGTCACTTTGCACTCTTTGGGAGTTATGCCAACCATGGCATTTTGCTGGGAAACAGATGGAGCTTTTTGCAAGGAAAACATACAGTTCTGTAAAATGCAACCTGGCTAGGGACTTCTCTAGAAAAGAGAGAGATATATATCCCTAGCCAGGTTGCATTTTGTTCTGTGCTCCACACTTTTCCCAAATGATAAGAAAATGCCAGGTTGCACTTTGTTCTGTACTCCACACTTTTCCCAAATGATAAGAAAATTACAGGGCATCTTTGCAATCTCGGTCTCCTTGGGGGAAGAGAATGATGGAGCTTTATGCCACCTTAAAATATAAAATACATTGGTGCCCAGCAAGAAGTCATAAGGAAGTGCTACATTTCTCTTTAAATTATCGTCATTATTTCTAAATGTGCATTTAGAACAAAATGCAGAAACAAATTCTGCCCTCTTTTTTTCCCATGTCCTTTATAAAATAAAATAAAAACCCACCAATTGACACAAGAATTGTGCCCTATCATGCAACAGACAGTGGAGTGTTACATAATAAGGTTAAACTTGAAGGGTTATGGGAAAGAAATAGGGGAAGAGATGGGAAATAAAAGGAGGCACCGCTCCCAAGCGCTCTCTTCTTAGAAAAGGGTCACTATGAGGCAGAATTAACTTGATGGCACATTATTATTAAGCTGGATGGACAGCTCAGTGAATTACCGTATTTTTCACTCCATAAGACGCACCTTTCCATAAGACGCACCAATTTTTTAGGAGAAGAAAACAGGAAAATATAATCTGTTTTCTTCGCTCCATAAGACGCACAGACTTTCCACCCCCCTGTTTTGTGGGGGGGGAAGCGCGTCTTATGGTGCGAAAAATACGATAGGTGTCTAGCTATGGAGGTAGAGATTGGGAGTTCAATTCCTCACTGTGCCTTCTGTGAGTAGAATCAGCCTGTGTACAGTCTCAGGCCACCCCCAGAAAGAGGGAGTGGTAAACCACTCTGAGCATTCTCTACCTGGAACACGTTGACAACACATGATTATATTGTCATTATTCAAAAATACCAGGCACAGCCAATCCAATTTATAAAAATATTGACTGGTATTCTATAACAGATACAAGTTTTAACCCAAAACCTAAATATCTGTTAAATATTGACGTAGTATATATGCTGTTCTTAATATTGCCTTTTTTCAGAGCTCTGATGATGTGATTTCTGGAATCTGCAACTGCTTATAGTACTGTGTGAAATTTCTTGATATTGTTCCCAAAGCCCCAATGACTACGGGGACCACTGAAGTATGTTTCTTCCAGAGGCAAGATGTTTCGATCATGATGATGATGATGATGATGATGATGATGATGATGATGATGATTTACAAGACTGGTACAACTGTACAGATCATTCTTAGTTCATGTTAGAAGTACCCCAGTACAATGAATAAATATATAACATAATATTTGCCCAACAAGAGCAATAGAGTAGCGAACAACAAGTCTTCCGTACTAAATGCTGAGGAGCAAAAAGCTGTGCTGTTATCTGTTCTTCTCTCAACAGCTTCTGGCCAATCTGAAAAACAGCTCTCGGCCTTGCGGAGATTGCCCACACCTAGCTCAAAGCCACCTCACATCAAAATAGTCAAAGGACCTCTTTTCCAGGACAGCTCGCCGTGAGAATTGTTGTCCCCACCCCTGCCCCACCCCATACCTGGAGACCTGGGGAACGATCCCTGAACAGCTGGCCCCCTCAGATCTGGTGATCTAGCCACAGGCCTGGTCTACAAGGAATCTGATCAACCTGTTCTCGTCCCTCTCGCTGGACATAAGCCATCCTTGTAGAGCACCAGTCAGCTCTTTGTCCTGCTGTCATTTATTCAAACCTAGCACCATGGACCTTTCCACCAAATCTAATTAAATTAAACTGCTCAGCAATTAGATTCAGGGCTACTGTCATAACCATGAGCTCCACAGAAGCTGACGCCCATGGAGCAGAAACACATTCTGCCCACAGCATTGACCTTACACTTATATTTCATATCTTTGAAATGAAGATTATGGCAAGAGGGCTTATACCATACCATTAAACTGCCAGCTGCGCATCATGATAATGAACATCCCCTTGAAATATCTATTAAGAGGAACATTTTGAGTAGGTCTTTTTTTTGCTCTGCAGGAGGAGGGGGCGGATGCAGAATATTTATTACCCTGCTGTAAGAGCAAAAGCAGAGTTGGATTCTAGCCTATTGAAATCAAGGATGGGCAACTGGTTTGGCTGAAATCTGACCAGTGTGAACAACTCGTTCTGCAATTCTGATATTACAAGGCCAAGCAAACTTACCACCTTGGCAAAAAAAACCCTACTCTGATACTAGTACAAACTGATTTCACAAAGTTTGAAAGCAGCATTTGGCAAATGTGGGGTAGGACAACACATGGAGCAGAGGTAGCATGCACATGCACATGCATACAGAGGGAGAGGGAGAGAGAGAGAGAGGGAGAGAGAAAGACGCACATGCATACAGAGAGAGAGAGAGAGGCCATTTCTGAAAAACACAAATTGTCCCCCCTACCCCCTGGGCCTGGAGACCTGGGGAAGCATAGATGGAACCATACCACCAAAAATTGTCACAACTTGTGCTAGTACGAGAACCTTCCCTTTGGCTTTTCCTTCCTGTGGATAGACAGAGATGTTCTGCCTTGTTCTGACCAAGGCAGGAGGATGGTCTGCTACCA